CTGGATAAGCATATGGAGCAGAAGTCCATCAGTGGCTATTAGCCACAAGGTATAGATAGGAACTCTGGGTCTGGGGCAAGTGATGTTCTGTCTTCTTGGTGCTTGGGGGTGGGCAACAGTGGGAGGGCTCCTAGTGTCCTGGCCCCACTGGTGGACCTCCTGATGGCACCTGGTATTTCTGGCCACTGTGTGACACAGAGTGTTGGACTGGATGGGCCATTGGCCTGATCCAACATTGGCTTCTCTTATGTTCTTATGCTTGGGTGAGTAGTGCTGAGCAAAACTAGTGGCAGATAAGTTCCCCAGGGCCTTTGCCCTGAAGAGCTGCTGATAGCCAAGATCAACACTAGCAAGATCAACCCCAAGGACTGCTCACCTCAGACCTGGCCAGTGGTGGCGACAGTGGGTGGTTGCAGGCTTGGCTTTTGCAGCTGGCCGGGTCCAAGCCCAGGCCCTTAAAGTCCCAGTCAGCCTTTGGGCCAGACTAGTTCAGAAGAGTGTGTCCCACATTCACGATATTCTTCCTGATAAACCCCTGCTTAGTTTCCCCCGAAGCTGTGACTTCCCTGGAATTCAGTTTAAGGTCGTATTTGTCAAAGTATGCCCCCCCCATCCCATTTGTCTGATCAAGTGTAACACAGACGTCTGTCAAGGTGATCAATGGACATATCTGGGTATTTATTAATGCCTTTCAAACCAACTGTTTCTCATTAGATGCATTTCTACAAAGTGCTCCCATGGCATTCTCTGCCTTGCTGATGGCAACATCTGTTGAAAGACAAATCTGTTAGGGCTTGAACATTAAAACGTTACATATACCCCATTAGGCTTTCTTAGAAACAAAGTGGAAAGACACCCCCCCACCCGGACACTCAGTAGCCTTCAAAAAGAGATGTGTTTATGGCCCAATCCTTTTTTTTTTAAAACAAAGCAAAATGCTTAGAATCTTGTTATAATACTATGTAAACTTCCTTAAGCTCCCTGCTCCAGTGAGGAGGGCAGGATATAAATTAAATTAATAAAAATAAATAAGTACACCCTAAAAGCTGCGGTGGCTCAAGTAGTTAAGACGCTGAACTGCAGGCTGTGGAAGGTCGGTAGTTCAGCAGTTCGAGACCCGGGTGCCGCATGACGGAGTGAGCTCCCGTCTCTAGTTCCAGCTCCTGCCAACCTAGCAGTTCGAAAGCAAGAAATTGCAAGTAGATAAATAGGTACCACTTCAGTGGGAAGGTAACAGTGTTCCGTGCGCCTTGGTGTTTAGTCATGCCGCCCACATGACCACGGAAACGTCTTTGGACAGCGCTGGCTCTTTGGCTTTGAAACGGAGATTAGCACCGCAACCCTAGAGTCGGACTTGACTGGCTTTCGAGCAAGGGAACCTTTACCTTTAAAAGTTTAAAAGCTTAAAACTTCCCCCCCTGCTGCTGAAGTAGTATTATTAACTGCACATATCTCAGTTAGTAGCTTACCTACTAGAGGGTAAACAGAGACATGGGGCAGAATCCTGTGATGTGCAGGCAGAAATGTAAATGGGCTTAGCACCGTGCCACTTGCTCCAGATGTTGCGCAAAACCTAACATTTCCCCCCCCCCGAATTTGGTTGTACAATATCTCGCTCAGGCAGAAACACAAGTAGAGCCATCAATAAATTTAACTTACTGCAGGTGTCTACTGTCGTCTTCTTCTTGCACTTCTGCTTGCTCAGAACCCTTTGTTTCAGATCTCAGCCCTTCAGATGTTTTCCAGTATGTTGGCCTTGTAGATATAACTAAAGTTATTAACACCGGTGTGGAAAAATGTAGGGCCCTGCCTTTAGAAGGCTTGGTGATGGTGGGAAGCATTGTCAGTTTGCAGCCAACTCGCGGTGACCCCATGAACAGTGTTCCCCTCTAAGCTGAGTTAGTGTGAGCCAGGTCACAGTTTTTTAGCCTCCGGCTCACACATTTTTGTCTTCGCTCAGGAAGGAGAGCTCCAGAGCAAACTAATTGATGCAGCAGCCAAATCGCTCGCTCACAGCTTTAATGCCAGTAGCTCAGCAAGTAGAATTTTTGCTCACAAGACTCCACAGCTTAGGGGGAACATTGCGCCATGAGGTTTTCAAAGCAAGAGATGAACACCGGTGGTTTGCCATTGCCTGCCTCTGCGTAGTGACCCTGGACTTCCTTGGTGGTCAAAACACTAACCA